GGCTGGCCTCGAACTCACAGAGATCCGCCTGCCTCTGCCTCCCGAGTGCTGGGATTAAAGGCGTGCGCCACCACCGCCCGGCGAGATAGGATCTTATTATGTAGCTATGACTGGCATGCAATTTACAGCCATCCTTTTACCTTAGTTCCCCAAGTGCCTGCATTACTGGTAAGCCCCATCATGGACAACTCTACACAGACCTCTTCTCTTGGGCCATCTCACTGGCAGCCTGGAATAAATGGGTCTCTGAGCTTTGTAGTTGCCATGTTACTAAGCTGTGTTTCAGTGACCTGCTTTCAGTCACCAAGCAGCACATCTGTGTCTGGAGGCCTCTTCCATGTTCTCCTGTTCTTTATGTGACTTATCGCTCCAACTTCATCCCATCTGTCATCTTCTCCAGGAAGCCTGTCTTGTCCCCTTCTGCCCATGTTGGTTCAGTAGCTACTGCTAGCTTCCTATAGTTTAGTTTTGGGTTTGTTTCAGATGGGGTCTCTCTACACAGCCCTGACTGTCCTGGAACCAGCTCTGTAGACCAGGCTGGTCTAGAACTCACAGAGATCTGCCTGCCTCTGCCTCCCAAGTGCTGGGATCAAAGGTGTGCGCCACCAAACCTGGCTCCGTGACTTAGTTTTTAACATGTCCTAGGATCCAATGCATCATAATTGACTAGTTGCTCTTTTCACCAAACTACGTGCTAATGCAAGAAATCCACGGAGTCTGCTCGAAGGGCAAAGGAATTTATTAGGGGAGAAAAACTCAGTGTACAGAACAGAATTGTCACAGGTCTGGAACATTGTTCAGGCTGGCTGAATCAGTCCCACAAGGGAGCGAAGAGGGAGTGTGCCCTACGAGCATCTCAGGTGAGAGGCCACACCCTAGGGGCATGTATTTCAAGGTCATAGACAGGTAGAGCAGTAACCTGCTGCATCTCTAGGGCCAATGTTTCAAGGTCATAGACAGAACAGCTACCCACTACATCGTGCTTCTTAAATTTAGAGACTATTGTGTTTTCTTTTGTGGGAACTATATTAAACAAAGAGAAGAAGGAGCAGGAGGTGGTAGAAGAGAAAGGAAGGATGTGTTCTCAATAAGAATTCTCCCTAGAGGCTGGGGAGATGCTTCAGCAGGTAAAGCTGCATGCCCCCAAGATTGACAGTTGGGTTTGATCCCTGGAGAGAATCGACTCCTACAAGTTGTCATCTGATTTCCATGCATGGGCCAGGACAGACAGACAGACAGACACACACACACACACACACACACACACACACACAGAGAGAGAGAGAGAGAGAGAGAATTGGGGTAGGAGGAAGAAGATACTTCTTCCCAGTACCTGCTGTTTTAGAGTTGTACCCAGGTGTAGATGTCACGGTCTTATTAAATAAGAAACACAGAGCCAAATGCAGAGTTAAAAGCCCAAGAGATCAGAGTAGTAGCTGAGAGCTGAGACTAAAACCGCCTTCTTACCCACCTTGTTACCCTTTGCTGCCACTGCCGTCCTTCCCCTGAAAAAGGCCTACTTCCTGTGTGTCTGTTTTTTATTGACTTCCTGTTCTGCTTTCTCATTGGTTGTAAACCCAACCACATGACCTCCTCATCACTGCCTGTCTATACAGACCTCCAGATCTCTATGGTTGGTATTGAGATTAAAGGCGTGTGTCTCCAAGCTGGCTATGTCCTTCAACACACAGACTCTGCCTGCCATGTGATCAAATTAAAGGCATGTGCCGCCACCGCCCAGCTTCTGCTATGGCTTGTTATTAGCTCTGACCCCCAGGCAACTTTATTTATTAACATACAAATAAAATCACATTTCAGCACAAATAAAATATCACCATACCCAGGAGAGTGATTAGTTGTGGGGCTGCTAAATTATTTAACTCAGATGGCCCCTATTCCTAGCAGTAAGCAGGGCTTAATAAGCATGTGCCCTTGAAACAATAATTATTATTAGAGCTCTAAATTTTTTGTTTGCTTTTTAAAGACACAGTCTTGCTCTGTAGCCCAGGCTGGCCTCAAATTTGCAACATCCGCCTGCTTCAGCCTCCCAAGATGCTAGGAATACAGGTGTAAGCAACCATACCCTACTCTAGAGACTTAATCTCAACGAAGGCTAGTACACAGCATTTACTGTTTCCATATTTTTATTCTGAATTCCAATATAGCCCTGTGGTTATATTCTTTCGGTATATGGAAGTGAAGAAAGGGCAATCCTGAGAGGGTGATACCTACAGGGCCACTGTTGGGAAGGGGGCTCCAGAGTCCATTCATTCACAAATCCTGCTTGGCTGCTTGGAGAGGAGAGTGCCAAACACAAAGAATCCCCGCCCTCATTCACGAAACCATTCTTCACCACTCTTTTCTCCAGTTACTATTGTGACTGAAGATTCTCCAGCATGCCCATCTGCAGTTTATTATAGTCTGTCTGTTACTGACTGACTGTTAGTGTTTCCCCCAAATTCATGTTGAAATCAAACCCATAAGGTGATGGTCAAGGAAGTGGCATCTTTGGGAGGTGACTGGTCATGAAGGCAGAGCTCCTGAACAGGATTAGTGCCCTTGCATGAAGAAGCAGGAGAACTAGTTCCCTCCCTCAATGAGTGATTGTGTGTGTGTGTGTGTGTGTGTGTGTGTGTGTGTGTGTGTGTGTGTGTGCATATATATGGGTGTTTACTAATCTAGTTGGCAGCATGAACCTGGGACAGAGGGGCTGAAAATGAGGGGGACTCAAGTCTCATGCAATAGCAAACTTTATTCAGTGCATCAGACAATTTATACTCTGAGGGTTAAGAAGGGTCACCCGAGTAAGGGGTACAATCACAAGGACAAGCCAAGCCACACATGGTAGAAGCAGGTTTTTCCATAGAGGCATATGAGTAACAACAGCTGAAGTCAACTCACTCCTGTCCGACACACCTGGGGAGGAGCATGAAAACACAGTCCAAGAACAGTTCCGTGAAACGGACGTCACAAGACTCTTTTTTGTTGTTTGGTTTTTTTTTTTGTTTTTGTTTTTGTTTTTTTTTGGTTTGTGTTGTTTTGTTTTGTTTTGTTTTGTTTTTCAAGACAGGGTTTCTCTGTGTAGCCCTGGCTGTCCTGGAACTCACCCTGTAGATCAGCTGGCCTTGAACTCACAGAGATCCACCTGCCTCTGCCTCCCGAGTGCTGAAATGAAAGGTGTATGGTGCCTGCAAGACACTTGTCTTGTTTTCTTGGAGTTTTCCCACAAGCACTCAGAATTCTCACACAACTCCATTCTTGGGCTGTGTTCCAACATGTGTATATATTAATTTTACAAAATACCATGTTTCATTATGACAGTTTCATATACATATAATATTTTGATTGGGTTTGCCTTCCCATACCCCTCTAACTGGCCTCCTTCCCCTTTTAAAACAGCCTCCCTTCCATTTACATGCCTTTTTTGTTGCTGCTAAATCTAGATTACTCATATGAGAGAACACATGTAACTTCGTCTTCCTGAATCTGGCTTATTTTATTTTGCTTAACACGATGTTCTCCAGTTCATTCATTTTCCTGAAAACGGCAGCCTTTCATTCGTCTTTATGGTGGAATAAAACTACACTATGTGGATATACCATGATTTCTTTATCCATTTATGTGCCGACAGGCACCAGGCTGACTCCTATCTTGGCTGTTGTAAATAGTGCCGCAATAAACATGGGTGTGTAGACGTCTCTATTGTTTGCCCCCTTTGATTCCTTCTAGTACCCTGGCATGGTACTGGCATGCTCTCTCTGTGCTATGTAGTTGGCATTCTAGAAACAGAGGAACCCTGAGCAGACACTGGGCTGGCGACCTCTCAGCTTTGTATGAATTTCCCGGCACATGGGGTAGTTTGCTATTGTGGCCTGTGTGTGTGTGAAGCTGTAACTTGGTACTGAGAAGTGGGATGGTTCTATGCATATACTTAATGATGCTGAAGGAGCTTTGGAACTGGGTAAAGGGTGGCCTAGGTGAGATTGGCTCATCAGCCCAGATTGTCAAGAAGGGACTTCAAAATCAAGCAAGTCTCCTAGGAACTTTGAGAGCAAAGAAGAAAGCTACCAAGTGTCTTAGAAAGTTATAACCAGTGTAGCTGATAAACATGTGGGGAGTAACTCCATCGTGACCACGATTCCAACAGAAAGGAACATGTTATTGGACAGTAAGGAAAAGACAGTTCTTGCCAAGCAAAGAGCGTGGAAGAGGGGAAACGGGCCATTTACCTGAATAGATTTCTAAGCAAAGTGTTGAAAAGGAGCTTGGGTTCTAATAGTAAGATGTGAGAAGGAAGAAATTCTTTGAAGTCAGAATAAGCAAAGGGAACTAGAATGTAAAAGATTTAGACATTGCTCACCCTACCCACCCTGTGAAAACTGCGAAAGCAAGCTCAGAAGAGGTCAGTCTCTCAGTGTGTGGCCGACTGACACAGCCCACGTTCCATAAGGATATTTGTGTTGCAAGGGTCAACTGTGCACGCTGAACAGAATGTCACCAGTGTGAAGGGAAGGGAAGGAGAGGGGCAGGATAAGCAATGGTTGCCATTCTGGGCATGGTAGTTAATTCCTGCAAGCCTAGCTCCTGGAAGGTAAGAAGAGAGTTAGTCAGGGTCATCCTGGGTTACATAGTAAGCCCTGTCTCAAAACAGGTATGGTGGTGCACATTTCTGATGCCAGAACTTGTGAGGCAGAGGCAAGAATATTGTTGCACATTTGCGGCGGGCCTGGTCTACCTAGTGAGTTCTAAGCCAACAAGGACTACATAGAAAGACCCAGTCTCAAAAACCGAATCAGAGGAGAAGGAAAGTTGGGGAGGAAGAAGAGGAAAATGGAGGGGGGAGGGGGAGGGGGAGGAAGAGGAGGAGGAGAGGTCAATTTTGTGGCCTTTAAAAAATATTATTATTATTGATGAGATCATAAGTCTATTGGAAGGCAAAAAATGCACTATTCTCAGAGTCATGGGAGTCCTCAAGACCTGCTTATTAAAACTCCAAGTGAACAGCTTTGAAGGCTGCAATTGAGAGAGACTGCAGTTCCAGTCCATCTAGAAGAGTGGAATAGTACCCCAGTGGGTCACAGAGGCAGGGCCACTGTCCCAGTAGAGAAGAAGCGGCAGAGAATGGCATCTGAAGAGATCATTCTTCAGCTCTGAGAATGTGGGGTGTTTATTCTGGTAGGGTTGGGACTTGCTTGGGACCTGTCATCTCTTCCTTTCCCCTTTTATCTCCTCCCTTTCAGAACGGGAGTATCTAGCTATTGTTCTGAAAGCATGTAGGTGACTGGGTTTTACGGATTCACTGATGATGGAGAGGGATTGCACCTCAGGACGTGCCTAGATTCTCACCTATAATTGATTTACATGGTGTTTAAATGGGACTTAAAGATTGCCACTGGAATGAGTTGAGGATTTGGCAGCTGGTAGGGCATATATCTCTTGCTAGTCTGTATACATGCTATGAATTATTTCTTCCTAAGGTAACACGTACATGCCTCTAGGACTGGTTGGGTCAGTAAAGTAGATGACCTTCCTCTGGGAATGTCCTTCCCCAGTGGTACCCAGTAACAAAATCAATTTCCTGGGTGGAAGAACTGAAAATTCTCATATGGCCACTTCAACTGAGGTCTGGTAAATTTAGCAGTGACAAGGTGATCATTTTTCCATATTAGATGTAGAAAACAGAAAAAAAATAGATTTATCAGTTTGGTCCTATAATTTTTTAAATGTTTATTTTTTTATTATTATTTTGGGTATGATGTGTGGGGAAGGGGCATGCCTCCACACTTATGTGGAGGTCAGGTTCCCTCCTTCCACCTTTACATGGGAAACAGGGATTGAACTCAGGTCCTTGGGTTTGAGGAGTGAGTGCTTTACCCACTGAGCCATCACACCAGGTTCTAGACTGTCTCATTAAAGGCCCAGTATAACAATAGCTCAAATAAGATAGAAAATGTCCTTTTATAGGAGAGTGTGAATGAAGTTTAGCCGTCTAAGCAGAGTTAATAATCATCTTGGCTATGTGCAGTCATGGCCCAGACTGCTGTGGAATAATCCTTTTGTTCACTGTAAATATGTATTACTCTCACTGGTTAATAAAAAGCTGATTGGACAATGGCTAGGCTGGACTTTTGGGGCAGAGAGGATGCTGGGAAGAAGGACAGAGTCAGAGGAGCTGCCATGAGATGAAGAGTGAGCAGGACGGGAAGTACATACATGAGGTAAACAAGCCTTGGGGCAGCACATAGATTCATAGAAATGGGTTAATTTAAGTTATAAGAGCCAGGTAAAAACAAGCCTAAGCTATCGGCTGAGCATTTATAATTAATATTAAGTCTCTGTGTGGTTATTTGGGGGAATGACTGGCAGGACAGAAAAGTCCACTTAACACCAGACTTGTGTGCTATTGTTGCCATAGTCCACCTTCAGTTCCCATCTCTCTAGGTCAAAGACAGTGATTTCAACTCCTGCATCTCAGGCACACCAAGACCAAGGAGTGAACAAGCAAAAAGAGTTCACCTTTGTCTATTTAAAAGATTAATATGAGCAGGCTGTAATTCAAGCACTCAAAAGGTGGTGGTGAGAACATCCCAAGTCTGAGGCCAGCCTACTTCACGTTGAATTCGTCTTTACAACAATCAGAAAGAAAGCGTCAAGAGCATGACCCAGACATTGTACATACCATGTCTGCCCATACCACACTGGTCAGAACCTCGTCAGCAGTGTGTCCACTTGCTGTGTGGTTGGTTATCTGTCCAGCAAAAACTCTCTTCTTTCAGAAGGGGGAAGTGATGTCACAGCCACAACAAGCAGAGACACTGTGTCAGCAGGGAGTGAGCATCAAGTAGACTCCAAGAAAAAGCAGTAGCAGGAACGGGACCTCCCGACTCCTCCAGCCTCCTGCGGGCACCAGGCTCTTGGGTTGAGGTCATCATGGAGGCCGAGCAGCTTTCCTCCCTAGTTTACCGTCACCCCAGGGAAGCCAACCCAGCGGCCTTCTGTTCCTGACACCGGGTGTAGGCTAGGCATCGGCACCCATGCTCTTAGGTAAATACTGGTTTGACTTAAGTGTGTTGCTTCCTGTTGCAGCTGGATGCACTTATTATCTGCCTCCGTCGTTTCTGCCAGTTGTAGAAGGGAGCCTTCAAATCGCCTCAGAAACAGTCACAGGGACGTCAGGGATTGCCTCAGTTCAGAACTTGAAGAAGAAAATAGTAACAGTTTTGGCCCAACCCTCCCTTGAAACCTGTCAGCACTCAAAGAGAAGGGGCCATCAGCAGCAGCAGTAATGCAAACCACACTGTTATGAGAACCAGGCGGGCTACGGAGGGCTGGAGGGCTCAGTTCTCTCCAGAGTAGACAAATGCTTGCAGACCTGTGAGTGACATACCAATATGATCAGCTCACCCTCAAAAGAATATGCTCCTGCCTGGATTTGAAGAGCCTTGCGTGAAACTGTTTATTTTATTTTTTTTCCAGTGTTTTAAATTTAACCAGCTGGAGAGAAGTACCACTTTGGGCATGGTAGCTCATGGCTGTAATTCCCAGGCTGGGGCAGGTCAGCCTGAGTTCCATAGTGAGTTCTTAAAAAATACCATTTTATTAAGCCTTTGTAAAATGAAGATTTGTTTTCCTGCCTCCCCCCTCTCCCCCACCCCCGCCCCACCACCTAGCACATTGGATACGAAGCCCAGCACAACATCCCTGAAACACGTAGTTTGTTGATTCTCTTCCACAGAGAATGGGATTTTCCAGAGGCTTCTGTAATGAGGATTTCCAAGCTACAGGATTCATGTTCAACCAAAGAAGTCCTCAAGTTTGCTTGGCACGAAGAAGGTATTCAACTAATTCTTGTTGATTATGTTTCAAACAGACTCAGAAATGATAGAACATTCCTCATCCAACACATTGACACAGAACTCCCAGAACATACAGGATTTGCGATTGAATATGCAATTTCCCTTCACTTATGTAGAAAAGCCAGTCCGTCTATAGGTGATGGACCTGGGGGGTGGGGGAGGGTCTAGCCCAGTGGTGTGAACATCTGGCCAGCATGCCTGATGCCCTAGGTTCAATCCCTAACACAGTGAAACTAAACAGAAGAAAAAACGCACACAAATTAAACCGTTGTTTCAACCAGGTGTGGTGGCACATAATCATAACCCCAGAACACAGGAGGTTAACTATGACTGTGAAGCCAGTGTGATCTACATCTGAGGTCCAGGCCAGCCAGCGCTACATTGTGAGACCTTGTCTCATAAAAGAGTCTATTGAAGAGGGGGAAAAAAATCACACATGGGTGGGGCAGAATGAGAACGCTTTTAGTGTATAATGACCTGAACGATTTAAAGATTTCAACAATAGCCCTGTTACTTTCTGTTTCAGTGTGTGGAAGGCAGTTAGAGTCTAAGGTCCCGGTGGCTCCTGGTGTCTTTATCATTTTAGAGAAAGGCCAAAACGTTGTCAAAGATGACAAAACTCTGCTCGATGGCATTTGTACCTTTTATTCATTTAGGACTAGTTCCTCCAAGAGTTGGGGGTGATAGAATGCTTACCTAGCATACATAAGGCGGTGGGAGGGAGGGGTGCTGGGGGTGGGGGGTAGGGGGTGGGCATTGATCCCCTGATCTCCAGCAACCCCTCACCTAAAAGAACGTTTGTTTTCAGCGTTTTTGAGTCTTTTTATGAAAACATGTTCATTGAATGCATTGAGTTAGATAATGTGGTGTTTTCCCTCAAAACATTCTTTCAGGGGTAACTGATTCAGCATTGCGTTGAGGTTTCCCCGAAACACTCCCAGGTTTGGAAACTCCCTAAGAGGACACCCATGTAACCCTAGGCCGGATGAGGACTCACACAAGGAGACAAGTGTCTGCACACTCAGCAATAACAAAGAGAACACGGGATGAGCTCTGGGCAGACCCGGGCACAGGTTCCTGGGGATGCTGTCCCAAGAGAGCCAGACACAAGTGAAACCTCCAGCAAGGACTTCTCCACGTGGGAACTGGCTGAAATGTTATCACCCAGGGAACTCGTTAGAGACTCAACATCCAAGTTTTTATTGAGGGGGGCCAGTCACCCAGGCAGCCTCTGCTTGGCACAGGCGCGAATTTGAGACTCCCAGGGGGAAAGCAGGTGTTCTGCATAAACCATAATTGTTTGCATAGTTCAGGCACGGCCAGCCTCTTATCGCCGAGGAGGAACGCCAGGGAGGGAACGCTAGCAGAATCCAAGTTCCCAGGCAGCAGCCCGAGAGGCAGCCTTGCAAGCAGGCCTGTCATGTGGAGGAGTTCAGGTCCACTTTGCACATTTCTCTCTGCATGCACACCATCAGTAGAGAGAATCACGAGCCTAACAGTAGTAACCGTGAACGGTTTTTCTTGTATTTGGTACTTGGACAGGTAGGACATGGAGCTATGCTTTCAGCCACCTTTTGATGTTTTTTGTTTCCCCACCATAAAGTGATAGCTGGTCTTTTTTTTTTTTTTTTTAACTAATATTATAATTAATGTTTATGGAGCCTTTACCATGCCAGGATACTGTTTCAATCATTTAAATCTGATGTTAAACCAAGAAACAAGTCCTATCTCCTTTCCCTTATTTTATAGGTGAGACTATTTAGACCCAGATAGTGTGTGTTAGGGAAACTTGTTCAAAATTTCACAGCTAGAAGCTGGACATGGTGGCACACACCTTTAATCTCAGCACTTGGGAGGCAGAGGCAGGTGGATCTCTATGAGTTCAAGGCCAGCCTGGTCTACAGAGTGAGCTCCTGGATAGCCAGAGTGACATAGTAAGACCTTATCTTAAAAAACAAAACAAAATGAACAACCAAATAAAACAAAAACAAAACCCCCAAAGTCTCACAGCTGGAGCCTGGAGAGATGGCTCAGTGGTTAAGATCATCCATTGCTCTTGCAGACGACTGGAGTTTGGTTCCCAGTACTCAGACGAGGGCTCACACAGTTGTCTATATAGGGGATCTCATACCTTCCTTTGCCTCTTCCAGCACCAGGTACACATATGGTGCACATATATACATGCAGGCAAAGCACTCATGCCCACCAATAATAAAATTAATAAATCTAAAAAAAAAACCCTCACAACTAATTGTCAGTGCTTGGGGCTGAACTAGGAGGTGCGAACTGTCTATCAGGGGCTCTGGGGCCCAGGTTGACACCTTGAATAATAAGATCCCTTATAGCTTTCTTGTAAGGGATGTGTCACCAGCAGCTCTGTTGGTGCCACCTTCAAACTTCTGACCACGGGACTGGCTTTGACACCTCTGCTGAAATGGGCTTTCTTGAGTTGGGCTGAGGACCTGTCCTGAATGGATTATCCATGCCATTGGCACTAGCTAGTGCTCCCATATCTCAAAACTGGGCCAGAAGAACACTGGATTGGCTTACGAGATAGGAGCTGAATAGTCCTGCAATGGCCACCTGCTGCTGTGGGATGTTCTGTATGTCCTGTGGGAGCCCTTCTTGGGTTCTTTGTGGCGTTACCCAGCAGGTCCGCATAAAGGATGATTAGGACCATGGGCCTGAGTGCAGGTGTCTGAGATGGTCTGCACTTGGCTGTGCTGGGGGATGGTCTGTATGTCAAGTTGTTCTGATTGATCAATAAATAAAACCTGATCGGCTGTGGCTAGGCAGGAAGGATAGGTGGGAATAACAGAGAGGAGAAATAAAAGGACAGGAAGGCAGGAGGACTGACTGCAGCCGCCGCCATGACCAGCAGCATGTGAAGATGCCGGTAAGCCACCGGCCATGTGGCAAAGTATAGATTTATGGAAATGGATTAATTTAAGCTATAAGCACAGTTAGCAAGAAGCCTGCCATGGCCATACAGTTTGTAAGCAATATAAGTCTCTGTGTTTACTTGGTTGGTCTGAGCGGCTGTGGGACTGGCGGGTGACAGAGATTTGTCCTGACTGTGGGCAAGGCAGGAAAACTCTAGCAACAACCTGCAGGGTATCTAGATAGACGATCTAGTAGCTGTGCAGTCTTGAGAAGCTAGAAGCTTCAGGGGGCACAAGGATGTGGTCCAATCCAAGGCTGAAGGCCAAGAAGCTTCCTGGAGAGCTTTGGTGTGAGTCTACATTGAAAGGATGAAGAAGCTGGGGTCTCACATCTGGGGTGACGGTAACAATAATAGACACTGCTGTGGATATCTCTCCACATGCTGTGAATGTGTTGCTCTGACTGGCTGATAAATAAAATCCTGATTGGCCAGTAGCCAGGTAGGAAGTATAGGCGGGATAAGCAGACAAGGAGAATTCTGGGAAGAGTAAGGCTGAGTCAGGAGATGCCAGCCTGCCATCTAAGGAGCAGCATTAGATTAGATTGTTTTATATTGTATACAAATTATATATATTAAAATTGATATTGCTAGAAAATGCTATATGTATATTTCTAATTGTACTTATACCATTCATTTTACAATGTAATGCAATTTTTTGATCCTTGAATGTTATTATTACCAACTATTAGGATATAAAAAAATGAAAGT